GCGAACAAGTGACACCACTGGAGATTTGTCAAGAAAGGTATGAACATATTGGAATTCTGGCGCCTCTAAAACTAATGAATTTTTAAGTGGAAAATAAAAAGAGTACATTGTACCAATAAGGCTTGTGTATGCATTAATATTTTATAGAACTTTAAACGCTTGTAGAATGTTGCATCTTGTGAATGTATGTGCATTTATGCCATCCAAAAAGTCAGAAAAAATAGAAACAAAAGAAGAAATAATGGTATTCCTCCTGAGAAAAAATGTAAGATCGTATCATAATGGTAGCCCATGTCGTCCCTGTCAGGTATGCCTACAGTTTGGACAATTTTTAAAAAGATGATCCTCATCATGAAATGAATAAACCTTATTATCTAGGTGAAAAGCATTAATATCCAGTGAATATATTTCGTAACATGGAAAACTAATAAAAGTACAAACAAGTTGTTTCAGTAGAAACCTCTGTTTAAAAACTCCAGTTGACAGAGACTGTAGAGTAAATATGTCATCTGCTAGCAAATTGTCTTTACTCTTTGTAGGTCGCACTTGAGAACGTGGTTTGGTTTTTACTGGAAAAGATATCAATTACAAAATTGAGGCTAAGCTCGCACACTATGCTCCAGACGGGACTGCTGTAACATTTAGATGAGATTGCAGTCCTCGGACCTGGTGGTCCTTCGGGATGCCATGAACTCTACCTACACTACTGCCCACAACGTAATTCACGCGAGGGTTACATATTGCACACGCGTGTGCCATGCATTGTCCCATTGTCGCATTGTCGTCTGCAAAAAGTGTCAAATTTAACCAAAGGGCAACAATGCAGGAATACGACAACGCGACATTTTGCATTTTGCCCATTTGTCGCATCGTCCCGCTTTGAATAATCTCTTATATTTTGTCAAAGCTCGACAATGCGCCGCACGCAGCAATATTACGGCTATATGACGGCGGTCTGTAAGTAATCGAATCTGGACCAGACAATCCAAAGATTGACAACATGAGCATCGATCCACGCAATTGGGATCGATGACATGCATCAACCTAGTCAGCGAGTCTGACCACCCGATCCCGTTAGTCATGGATTGCTGAAGACCTATCCTACCCCGGATCTTCACAGGTCGAAAGGGCTTTTGAAAGAGCTGGTCCAGAAAGGGCTTTATCATAAAGAGTTAATATCGTAACAATGTGTGCTTAACTTTGAAGTCCTCTGGTTTCGCCGAAGAACATTGCAACAATGTTATTTTGTCCGTATTTGCCGGCTCCCGGTCACATACGTTTCCCCACTCATACTCAGTTACGCAAAGAAAAATAGTTCTTTGAATATAAACAACATAATCTAGAAATATATCAATATAATTTCTTTTTCTGAACAAATTTACAAACAATATTTGGGATAAATCAGATCTTAAAAATAGGTTTCAGGAAGGTGAACAAAAATATAAACATATTCGATGCACCGAGGCGAGGTCAACCTTCAAGCGCGGATTTATATATGACGTCACATAAGTTGTTAAAGAGGTGCATTTCGAGTCGAACGGGAGCATGAGGATGAAATTTAAACTGCTGTTGAAAATGACGTTTATGGAGCAGTTTTTGAAAACAGTCCGACGCTTGAACCCTCTCATGGCACTAGCAAATTGGGAATATCACCAATTTATGAATGTGTTGCTTGTGTTTGGATAATCGCAAACCAGTTCTAGACTAGAGATATTTCTAGGATAAAATATGACCAACACAATTTGAAGCAGCAATAACAATTGTATTGTAGAAATTCATCATTCAGAACAGTAAAATGCGAATTTACTAATTCAACAATAAAGTCCTTTCTTGACAGGGGGTCATTCGTCCAGTATTCGATCAACAACATTGGTTACAACTTTAAGGTGACGACGGCCCAGACCGTTCAATACGGGATATGACCTCCATGCGGCGTCGAACTGAGTAGACAAGCGTCCTCACATTGACTACAGGTATCCGATTCCATTCCTCACAGAGGGCAACGATCAGGTAGGATGTTGACGTTTCCGAAGACGACACCCCAGCTGGACCCAGAGATGTTCTATGGGTGACCGATCTGGTGATCGAGCTGGCCACGGCAGGATAGTCACGTTGTTGGCGTTGAGGAAGTCTCTAGTAGTACGGGCTTTATGGGGTGTGGCGTTATCTTGTTGGAACACCGTCCGTTGTTGACGCTGGATGAAAGGAAGAACCACTGGCCGTAAGATATTGTCAATGTAGCGTTGTGCTGTCAGATTGCCTTCGATGAAGACAAGTTCCGTCTTCTCGTTCCCGCTAATGCGGCCCCAGACCATCACACTTCCGCCCTCGTAAGGTTCCACCTCCTGGACACAACAAGGAGCCAGCCGTACGTTCACCACGTCGTCGATAAACTCGCGCCCGCCCATCAGGTATGAAGAATTGGAACCTGCTCTCGTCACTAAACAGAACTCGCCGCCGTTCCCTTTTTGCCATCGCTCAGTTTGCCGGCATCCAGTCAATCTGGCACGTCGATGTTGACGGGTCAAGGTCATGCCCTTGAAAGGGCGATAAGCCCGGAGACCATTATGTCGTAGTAGTCTGGTCACTGTTTGTCTGCTGACCGGATGTCCTAAGCTGTTGGCAGCTGATGACGTCACAGTAAGAAATCTGTTCCTCAGATGAAGTACCCGTAAAAAGCGGTCATCCTGCAGGGTCGTGACTTTTGGTCTGCCATTCCGTGGTCTGTCTGCGGTTCTGCCAGTCTGTCGGAGACGTGCGACCAGTCTGGTGATGGTCATCTTGGAACAGTTCATCTTAATGGCAACCGCTCTCTGTGTCTCTGTGGCTCTCTCCCTCTGGACAGCGGTCAGTCTTGGCCTGTTCGTTGGTGTAAATCATCACCATCTATGAACAGATCCGTGCTTAATTTATACCCGGAAATTGCATGATAATTTTGGGAAAGAATGTTTTAAACAATTGCTGAAAAACACCAATATCTCCCAAAATCCGTAAAGCACGTGCAAAGAACTACAGTGAACACGAAGGCTGTATTCGTGAGATGTGTTCTTTACTGTTTTTGAACAGGTTGGCCTCTTTGTTTCAAAGTGGCAAATTAGTTATTGTTAACGTTCCTTCAGGCCCTCAGTTTATATTGCTGATAAATGCAGGTATTAAAAACAAAATAGAAAAACGAGTTCATCGTTAACACCGATCAAGAATTCGGGGAAACCCCGGAAAGTAGATCCGGCAAAAGTTCACACGATCAATTTCACAAAAAATTGTTCACATCATGTGAACTTTTTTTGTCCGTTCACAGGTGTGTGAACTCAAAATATCAGATCACGTGACTGCCCCTTCAGCCAATCAGCATGAAAGAAACAGTGTAAACTTCAAAGTATGAAATTATTCTCTGGTGTTGTCATTTTTTATTTACATGATCTATGTATGAGATATATACTCTCCAAAACAAGTAGGGGATCTGATGAGCTGCTGAACACACACACACACACACTTATACTCACAAACACACATATTGATCCTATTTAAAAGCAAGTACTAAAGCAATCCGGCACACACACACACACACACACACACACACACACACACACACACACACACACACACACACACACACACACACACACACACACACACACACACACACACACACACACACATGATTATGGTAGGATCAAACAGCAAAATGTTTGACACACCGTGCACCAATTAACACTGAAATAACAAAATAGATTTCAGTGATTTTCATATCTTATATTTTCAAAATTGCATTATGACATCTTGTTGATGACATACTTTGTTTGTGCCTGTTTCTTTTACAATTTCGTGAAAATATTTCTTACTTCTCTCAGTTATATACCTGATAAACACTTACACGTGTTGCTGTCCAAATTCACAACATTTACTGACGAAATTTCCGTTGCATGAGAAGTTTACATTTCGCGTACTGTATCGCCTTACCGCTGTTCTGAATTGTATACCTATGACATAGCCTGATCGGCGGTACTACAACTTACATATGGGTACGTATACTATGAAAATCTACTAAATCTTTAAAAGTGTATTCTTTAAATATCAAGGGCAACACTTTCAGTACCGACTGCAGAACGTCAACAAAGCGACATGGGATGGACGATCAAGCTGATCTCCACGCCTCGCTTCGAACGACAGTCTAGTGGTTAACTATACAATATAAGCAGTCGTGGTCATCCCTGAATCACTGAAGCACGGAACATGTATTTCCAGACATGACAATAGATAGATCATTGTTCAGATGAAAATATGTACTGTCCATACACCAACGTGACCGTTGACGATAGAGGTGAAAGCTAAACTGGTTAACCGTCTAAAGGTTTTATAATAACGTGCACCGCTTGTATCGCGCATACCAGTTAAGGGTTGGACTGTCCTGGTCAGCGCGCGTAGCGGGAGTTCGTAGATCGATGGTCATGATATCATTCACTGGATTGTCTGGTCAAGACTCGTTTATTTACATACCGTCATCATATAGCTGGGATAATGCTGAGTTCGGCGTTAAACAACTAAGAAGAATAGCACCACAATCTTTGTTACCAGTTTCAAGCTATTAAGTTGAGCGTCTTTGCAGTGACTGAAGGCGCTTGAATACAGGTCCAAACAAAGTTTTGCTCATCAAATATCTTCCGTTTAACAGGTTCCAGGATTGCAGTAAAACCGGAAGAAGGTTAAATCTATCACACGCATGCCAGAGACAGATTCACGTCTTTCCATGATCCCCTTAAATATGTCCCCAACATGAAGCATGTGGTTAAGAGTGTAGACACGCCTTGGTATGTTGATCCGAAGAATGTGTTGCGGTTTCGGATTCTCTCTCTCATTGCTCTCATCAAGTTTCAAAATATCATCGATCTGAGCACAACGGATGCCACCTTCAATATACAAAGCGCAATGAAGAGCAAAGGCTGGATACTGGCAAGTGGGAATATGTGGAAGGCATTTTGCTCCATAAATGTATAGTCCACATCCTATGGGGTCGATGACATGAACGTCAGCCTTCTTCAGGATGTCTCCGAACATGTACGTGCTGTCAACTCGATACTGAAGAAACTTGGCATCAATGTTCTCCAATAGGCCAATTGTCATGGCCTCCATATCCCTACCCGTCAGTCCTCCATACGTCTTGAACCCTTCTGTTTAGAACATCCTGACGGATGCTTTGTCGTAAACATCCTGCTGGTTTGTGGCCAGAAACGCCCCTGTGTTACACAGCCCGTCTTTCTTGGCTGAGACATAGACATGGTCGAAGTAGGAGAACATCCTCAGGGCGATATCTTTACAGGACATGAGACTATATTCCTTGTCGCGTGTCTTGATGAAGTAGGCATTCTCTGCGAACCGACATCCGTCCATGATCAAGGGAATATCAAATGTTTGACAGGTCTTGACATTGAGACTGGCTGTCCTGCTTGGCCTGTGCTGGCAACGGCCAACACAACCATTGCACCTTCTGGCCCAATCGTCTCCAGTTCCTCCTTGAGCCTCCCACAGTCAATATTCGCATTGAAGGAACTTTCTGGACTTCCATTGCATGGAAGATCTACAACCTGTAAACCATTAATATCAGCATTTCCACGTGTTGTGGGGAATAAAGTGTTACTGAAAATGGTCATTCCGGGCTTAGACAGAATGGAAAATAATAGATGTTCTACAGCCCTTCCTTGGTGAGCAGGAAGCATGTATTGTAATCCCCTCAGAGATTTCACTCAGTCCTCTAACTTCTTGAAGCTGCGTGATGAGAAGTAGCCCTCATCTGCTTGCATCATCGCTGCCCTCTGATGTTGACTCATGGCCCCGGTACCTGAATCAGTTGCAAAATCAAAAGTCACGTGACCACCATCCAGTTTGAATGGATTCGAACCGCTATCTTCCAGTATTTTTATCCGTTCTTCCCTTGTCAGGAACGTTAGGGGTTCCACCATCTTAATGCGGAATGGTTCCATGTATGACATCTGTATCTCAGAAATACATTGCTTTATCCATACAGTCAATACTGTCATATGTCTCATTGAAAACAAAAATATAACATATCATTATAAACATTTCATGATCATGTGAGTGTATGAATATTTTTATATCATAAAAAACGTGGAAAATGACACACTCTGTGTTAAGCTGTCATTGTTTATTTTCAAAAACGAACAGTTAAAATAACAAGCAAAATCCTTCCCTGTGTGGCAGAGGGTATTTAGTACATATAAGTTAGGTTTTAATTCTATTTTAGCCCTAGTTTTATACTCATTCTATTTCAGATTTCAGATTTGCATTAAGTACATAGTTTATTTACTTTGTCTTACTTTTGCCATATAATTGTATTTTAACTTAAACATTAATACCATATCTTATCTGTTTCATTCAGTCTATTATTTATCCAGCCTTGACTTACCATACCATTGCATGCTTTTCACCCACAGCACTTAGTACCCCACCCTGAGCTTAGACTACTCTATTGTTCTCTGTGGTCACCCCCAGCTGACCACAGGCATACCTTTGTTTTCTAGTGATCTGGGACAGATGCCAGATTACACTTGGCGTATGTACATCATAGTCATTTTGTGTATATTTTGAATGGATCTTGTGTTCAGAATTTTATTCATTGATCCAATGGATGTGTTACTTTCATGGATTTGAAAGTTAGTTGTAGTAAATTTCTTGTGTGATGCTTTATATGTATTTGTGTATTTCTAATTCTTAAAGTTAGCAATAAGTTGTGCTAGGTGTATTGCTAGTCAGGTTCTGTATTGAATTCACAGTTCAGTGTATTCTGGTTATGATTATTTTATATGATAAAGTATTATAAAGCAGTATCTTTAATTGATAAATAGCAAATTGATCCTAGGCTATTATCATCTTAACTTGAACATTAACTAAATAAAAATAAACCCTAAATAAACTGATAGTAATTCTATACCTCATATCACATTAAGGTAATTGTTTTAATTGTGTATAAGTATGTATGCATATGTGTGAAAGTGCATTATTTAAGTAATTTGATAAACCCCTGTTTTTAATACCTATTTTACTGTTGTGTTGTACATAGTTATAGTGTATATAGTATCTGCATTAGTTTATACTTTGTCAATGCAGGTGTTACTGGCACAACCTTAGAAGCCTTGGTGACACGGCACAGGTTTCATCAATCTGGTATGTATTGTTTATATGTTATTCATGAATGTATAACTGTATGTATCTATATATATGCTGACGTCGTATATCTTTGTAATTATCATTACTATTGTTCTTGTCTAATGTTATGAGTGAGTGAGTGAGTATAGTTTTACGCCGCTTTTAGCAATATTCCAGGATATATCACGGGGGGGACACCAGAAAACGGCTTCACACATTGTACCCATGTCGGGAATCGAACCCGGGTCTTCGACGTGACGAGCGAACGCTTCAACCACTAGGCTACCCGACCGCTATGACAGTAGACAGGGTTTATGTTCAGTTTAAATTGATTAAAGGGTCATAAGCATACATATTTCTGTATCGTTGTGCAGGTTACTTACTTCATGAGTAACATAGGTTTCTCGCTATTTCTCGCTATTGTCAGTTCATATAATTGAATGTCCATTAAATTTAAGGCCATTATGTATATTATAACGATGTCAATGTTGTATGTCTTTTGTGCAGTATGTCTTATTATTTATACATTGTTTCAGGCCGGTTTTTTTCGCCTTTCACATTTCTCTTCTTAGAGAATATACAGCCATCAGCTCACACCCTGCAGCCGTTTGTTGTGTTTACCAACCCGACAACTAGGCGCTACTACACCTGTATATTTACCCCTCATAAGCCTTTCACAGTCCCTCCGTCACTTTTCTTGACTTCAATAGAAGTCAGAATATCCCTACATCTGACTGCCCCGATATTCTGTTCGTCATTATATCCAAACATCTGACTGCCCCGACATTCTGTCAGTCACAGTGTCCCTACATCTGACTACCACGACATTCTGTTCGTCACAATATCCAAACATCTGACTGCCCCGACATTAGGTTCGTCACAATATCCAAACATCTGACTGCCCCGACATTCTGTTATTCACAAGATCCCTTCATCTGACTGCCCGACATTCTGTCAGTCACAGTGTCCCTACATCTGACTGCCCCGATATTCTGTCAGTCACAGTACTAGTTTCCCTACATCTGACTGCCACGACATTCTGTCAGTCACAATATCCCCACATCTGACTGCCCCGTCATTCTGTCAGTCACAGTGTCCCTACATCTGACTGCCCCGACATTCTGTCAGTCACAGTGTCCCTACATCTGACTGCCCCGACATTCTGTCAGTCACAGTGTCCCTACATCTGACTGCCCCGACATTCTGTCAGTCATAGTGTTCTTACATCTGACTGCCCCGACATTCTGTCAGTCACAGTGTCCCTACATCTGACTGCCCCGACATTCTGTCAGTCACAGTGTCCCTACATCTGACTACCCCGACATTCGGTCAGTAACAGTGTCCCTACATCTGACTGCCCCGACATTCTGTCAGTCACAGTGTCCCTACATCTGACTGCCCCGATATTCTGTCAGTCACAGTGTCCCTACATCTGACTGCCCCGACATTCTGTCAGTCACAGTGTCCCTACATCTGACTACCCCGACATTCTGTCAGTCACATTATCCCCACATCTGACTGCCCCGACATTCGGTCAGTAACAGTGTCCCTACATCTGACTGCCCCGACATTCTGTTCGTCACAATATCCCCACATCTGACTGCCTCGACATTCGGTCAGTAACAATATCCCTACATCTGACTGCCCCGAGATTCTGTCAGTCACAATATCCTTACATCTGACTGCCCCGACATTCTGTTCGTCACAATATCCCTACATCTGACTACCCCGAGATTCTGTCAGTCACAATATCCTTACATCTGACTGCCCCTATATCATTCTTCAATAGTTTCTTTTCAGTTTAACAATGTGAATTAAGATGTTCACTGTTTACTAACCTCACCTCGTAAAAGTGTCATCTGTGTGAGTGAGGTGACGTGGTGGAGGACAGAAAGTTGATTAATCCTGTTTCCCTCTTGAAAGTGAAATAGTGATAATATTGGTCACATTACAATAATAGTCTGACTTAAAAGGAGACAAGCACATGCCTCGCCTGACAGTAATTATTTCAATGAGTTCTGTCCTGCGAAATCACGACCTTTAATTACAAATAGTGTGTCGATGACCGCCACAGAATGGTTGAGTTCAAGCTGGTACCCATCCATGCACGAATTGATGGAAGAACGCAAAGTATCACGACCTTTAATTAAAACTATTGTGTTAATGACCGTCAAGTATGGTGTGTAAAACAACGTTTTATGTTGATACCCATGCATGCACTGAAGGAAGAACGCAAGGTAAATAACTCCAGCATCAACTAGAGGGACCAGATTGTTGTGAGTGTCCCCACGTAACATTGGGTCTCAGGTGGTTGTGGAGTGCCCTGTGTATAACATTGTGTCACAGATGGTTGTAAGTGTCTATGTATAACATTGTGTTACAGATGGCTGTAAGTGTCCCCGTGTAACATTGTGTCACATATGGATGTGAGTGTCCTATGTAACATTGTGTCACAGATGGTTGTAAGTGTCCCCGTGTAACATTGTGTCACAGATGGTTGTGAGTGTCCCCGTGTAACATTGTGTCACAGATGGTTGTAAGTGTCCCCGTGTAACATTGTGTCACAGATGGTTGTGAGTGTCTATGTATAACATTGTGTTACAGATGGCTGTGAGTTTCTATGTATAACATTGTGTCACATATGTTTTTTAGTGTCCCAGTGTAACATTGTGTTACAGATGGTTGTGAGTGTCCCCGTGTAACATTGTGTCACAGATGGCTGTGAGTGTCTATGTATAACAATGTGTCACACATGGTTGTAAGTGTCCCCGTGTAACATTGTGTCACAGATGGTTGTGAGTGTCCCCGTGTAACATTGTGTCACAGATGGTTGTAAGTGTCTATGTATAACATTGTGTTATAGATGGCTGTGAGTGTCTATGTATAACATTGCGTCACATATGGTTTTTAGTATCCCAATGTAACATTGTGTTACAGATGGCTGTGAGTGTCCCCGTGTAACATTGTGTCACACATGGCTGTGAGTGTCCACGTGTAAGATTGTGTAACAGATGGTTGTGAGCGTCCCCATGTAACATTATGTAACAGATGGTTGTGAATGTTCTCGTGTAACATTGTATCATAGATGGTTGTTAGTGTCCATGAATAACATTGTGTCACAGATGGTTGTGAGTGTCCACCTGTAACATTGATTCATACATGGATTTTCGTGTACATATGTAGCATTGTCTCACACATGGCTGTGTGTGTACACATGTGCGATTGTGTCCTAGTTGGTTGTGAACGTTCTCGTGTATATTTGTTTCACAGATGGTTGTGCGTGTCCCAGTGTAACATTGTGTCACAGATGGTTGTGAGTGTTACCTTGTAACATTGTATCACAGATGGTTGTGAGTGACCCCGTGTAACATTGTCTGATACATGGCTGTGAGTGCACATATGTGCCATTGTGTCCCAGATAGTTGTGAATGTTCCCGTGTAACTTTGTGTGACAGATGGTTGTAAGTGCCCCCGTCCAAGATTGGGTTATAGATAGTTGTAAGTGCCACCGTGCAACATTGTGTCACAGATGGTTTTGAGTGTACATATGTAACATTGTCTCACACATGGTTGTGAGTGTACACATGTGCCATTGTATCACAGATGGTTGTGAGCGTCCCCGTGTAACATTGTGTCACAGATGGTTGTGAATGTTCCCGTGTAACTTTGCGTCACAGATGGTTGTGAGTGTCCATGTATAACATTTTGTCACAGATGGTTGTGAGCGTCCATGTATAACATTGTATCACAGATGGTTGTGAGCGTCCATGTATAACATTGTATCACAGATGGTTGTGAGCGTCCCCGTGTAACATTGTATCACAGATGGTTGTGAATGTTCCCGTGTAACTTTGCGCCACAGATGGTTGTGAGTGTCCATGTATAACATTGTATCACAGATGGTTGTGAGCGTCCATGTAAAACATTGTAGCACAGATGGTTGTGAGCGTAACCCTGTAACATTGTATAACAGATGGTTGTGAGCGTACCCGTGTAACATTGTGTAACAGATGGTTGTGAATGTTCTCGTGTATCATTGTGTCACAGATGGTTATAAGTTTCCATGTATAACATTGTATCACAGATGGTTGTCAGTGTCCCTGTGTAACATTGTGTCAGAAATGGTTGAAAGTGTCCCCCTGTAACATTGTCTCATTAATGGATTTGTGTGTACATATGTAGCATTGTCTCACACATGGCTGTGTGTGTACACATGTGCGATTGTGTCCTAGTTGGTTGTGAACGTTCCCGTGTATATTTGTTTCACAGATGGTTGTGCGTGTCCCAGTGTAACATTGTGTCACAGATGGTTGTGAGTGTTACCTTGTAACATTGTATCACAGATGGTTGTGAGTGACCCTATGTAACATTGTCTCACACATGGTTGTGAGTGTACACATGTGCCATTGTATCACAGATGGTTGTGAGCGTCCCCGTGTAACATTGTGTCACAGATGGTTGTGAATGTTCCCGTGTAACTTTGCGTCACAGATGGTTGTGAGTGTCCATGTATAACATTGTATCACAAATGGTTGTGAGCGTCCATGTATAACATTGTATCACAAATGGTTTTGAGCGTCCCCGTGTAACATTTTGTCAGAGATGGTTGTGAGCGTCCCCGTGTAATATTGTGTCACAGATGGTTGTGAGTGTCCCTGTGGAACTTTGTCTCACAGATGGTTGTTAGTAGGTTTACAAATGTAGGTTTACATTCACAAAAGTTATACCTATCAGTTAGAGATCCATTAGTGAGACACCTACTAGTTAGACACCCATTTGTCAGACACCCACTAGTTAGACATTAATCAGTCAGACACCCACAAGTTAGACACCCATTAGTCAGGCACTCGCTAGTTGGTCACCAACTAGTCAGACACCCATCAGTCACACACCCACTAGTTAGACTCCCATTCGATAGACACCCACTAGTCAGACACCCATCAGTCACACACCCACTAGTTAGACTCCCATTCGTCAAACACCCACTACTTGGAACCCATCAGTCAGACACCCACTAGGTAGTGGCGAGTCTGGCGATGGTGTACTTGAAGCAGCCCTTGATCCTGGCAACGTGCTCCTGCGTCGCTCCCATTTGCAGCATGCCAAATGCTGTTTGGCAAATTTGTTGACAACTGACTATCATTATTTTTTTGGTGTCGTTTCTTTTGCCCTTTAGTTTTCATAGGGTCTTCTGTGGCTGTCAAAGATGTAATTTTCCATTTTTTTAAATTTAAAAAATACCAATATAATAAATATATATATATATATATCTTTTATTTATCATATTGAAATATAATCATGGTAGTATTTGACAACAGACAGCAACCATTCATCCACAACATCTTTTGATACACCGTGCACCAATTAACCCTTAAATAACAAAATAGGTTTCAGTGATTTTCTTTTGTTCTTGACTCTAAAACCTGAAGACATGTCCATTCCACTTTTGTACTGATTTCCAAAGCTCCATACAAATCCGTACAAAGAGAGAGATATTGCTTGGTTCAGTAAATGTACCACCAAATCCCTGTCTCAAAGACTAACCATAATCCTTAATACAATCAAGGAAGGACTTTCTTTATATTCAGATAAAGTATTTGAGACAAATGGTATTAATACCATGTGGATGTTTGACTTTTTGCAATCTCAGAAAAGAACCAAGTTCAATTCTGTAATAACATTTGATTTTTCAATTTTGTACACCACTATGCCACATGACAAACTTAGGAAAAACTTCATTACTTGATCCATTGGGCTTTTGTTATAAAACGTGGTGAACAAAGATACAGTTACGTATCTATATTCAGAGGTTCAGGACAATTTGTGAAAAACGAAAGCAACTGCCATCTGAAATTTACTGAGAAAACAAGATGTGAAATGCTGTACTTCCTCATCGATAACATCTACGTAGAATTTGGGGGTAAGACATTTAGGCATGAAGTAGGCATCCCTATGTGCACCAATTGTGTTCACCTTCTTGCGGATCTATTTCTTTATGCATATGAATCGGAATTTCTGTTCGGATTGGCAAAGTCAAAACAAGGTAATTTGGCCAAGAAGTTTAACTTAAGCTTCAGGAAAATCGATGATCTGATATCATTCAATAACAATCAAATAGCCAACTGGTTTACCCACCTGAACTAGAAATAAAGGAGACCGGTGAGACCGCTCTTTCATATCTAGATCTATGCATAAAGATTCAGAGTGACAAAACGCTCTCCACAAGAATGTATGACAAGAGGGATGACTTCAATTTTCTAATAGTCAACTTTCCAAAAGTCAACTTTCCCTTCATGTCGAGCAATATTCCAGCAGCTCCAGCCTTTGGTGTTTACAATTTCCTTGTTTTGATTTGTACTGTATGTTCCTATATTTTTCAGGTGAACAATTGACTTACCTTTTGCATGTGTTTGTGATGAGTGCCACCGTTGGGGCAGGATACGCTCAACTTTTCGCCAACACCTGGTATCATCACTATTTGATAGTGATTCAGAAACACATGCTTATGATATAGTCGGAATAATACAATCGACTCTGATTTATGCAGAGATTTCTGTTGGATATGGAAAGGGTTCTGTCGCTTTATTTTATTTTGAAAATTGTATTATGATATCTAGTTGATGTCATAATTTGCCAGTGCCTGTTTCTATTACAATTTCATGAAAACATTTGTTACCTCCCTCATGCTCATGATATCAATCACTGGATTGTCTGGTCCAGACTGGATTATTAACAGGCCGCGGTCACATATCTGGAATATTGCTGAGTGCGGCGTTAAACAACAAACTAAGAAGAAGAAATAGCTTCACAATCTGTTTCCGAATAATAGCTTCAAGCATTCAAATTGAATGTCTTCACAGTGACTGAAGGCCCCAGAATACGGTCCAAACCAAGTTTTAATCATCGAATATCTTCCCTTTAACAGGTTCCAGGATTGCAGTATAATCAGCAGAAGTTAAATCTATCACACGCATGCCAGAGATAGATTCACGTCTTTCCATGATCCTCTTAAATATGTCCCCAACATGAAGCATGTGGCTAAGAGTGTAGACACGCCTTGGTATCTGGATCCGAAGAATGTGTTGCGGTTTCGGATTCTCTCTCTCATTGCTCTCATCAAGTTTCAAAATATCATCGATCTGAGCACAACGGATGCCACCTTCAATATACAAAGCACAATGAAGAGCAAAGGCTGGATACTGGCAAGTGGGAATATGTGGAAGACATTTTGCTCCATTAATGTATAGTCCACATCCTATGGGGTCGATGACATGAACGCCAGCCTTCTTCAGGATGTCTCCGAACATGTACGTGCTGTCAACTCGATACTGAAGAAACTTATCATCAATGTTCTCCAACAGGCCAATTGTCATGGCCTCCATATCCCTACCCGTCAGTCCTCCATACGTCTTGAACCCTTCCGTATAGAACATCCTGACGGATGCTTTGTCGTAAACATCCTGCTGGTTTGTGGCCAGAAACGCCCCTGTGTTACACAGCCCGTCTTTCTTGGCTGAGACATAGACATGGTCGAAGTAGGAGAACATCTTCAGGGCAATGTCTTTACAGGACATGAGACTATATTCCTTGTCGCGTGTCTTGATGAAGTAGGCATTCTCTGCGAACCGACATCCATCCATGATCAAGGGAATATCAAAGCTGTGACAAATCTTTGACAGGTCTTGGATATTGGACATTGAGACTGGCTGCCCTGCTTGGCCTGTGCTTGCAGCGACCAACACAACCATTGTACCTTCTGGTCCCATCTTCTCTAGTTCCTCCTTGAGCCTCCCACAGTCAATGTTCGCATTGAAGGAACTTTCTGGACTTCCAACGCATGGAAGATCTACAACCTGTAAACCATTAATATCAGCATTTCCACGTGTTGTGGGGAATAAAGTGTTACTGAAAATGGTCATTCCGGGCTTCGACAGAATGGAAAATAATAGACGTTCTACGGCCCTTCCTTGGTGAGCAGGTAGCATGTATTGAAATCCCGTCAGAGATTTCACGCAATCCTCTAACTTCTTGAAGCTACGTGATGAGAAGTAGCCCTCATCTGCTTGCATCATCGCTGCCCACTGATGTTGACTCATGGCCCCGGTACCTGAATCAGTTGCCAAATCAAAAGTCACGTGACGACCATCCAGTTTGAATGGATTCGAACCGCTGTCTTCCAGTATTTTTATCCGTTCTTCCCTTGTCAGGAATGTGAGGGGTTCCACCATCTTAATGCGGAATGGTTCCATGAATGACATCTGTAATTTAGAAACACATTGCTTTATCCATACAGTGAACACCGTCATATGATGACTTGAAAACAAATATATAACACATCATGATAAACATTTAAATGTCATAATCACGTGTGTGGGTGAATACTTTTATATCATGAAAAACGTGGAAAATGACACACAATGTGTTCGGCTGTCATTGTTTATTTGCATTTAAGAACAGTCTAAAGACTAAGTCTAAATAACAAGCACAATCCTTCCCTGTATATTTACACTTCAGTAGCCTGTCCCAGTCCCTCTGTCACTTTACGGGACTGCAATAGAAGTCAGAACATCCTTACATCTGACTGCCCCGACATTCTGTCAGTAACAGTGTCCCTACATCTGACATTAAGTTGATTAATCCTATTTTCCTCTTGAAATAAAAGTGATAATATTGGTCACATTACAATAATAGTCTGACTCAAAAGGAGACAAGCACATACCTAGCCTGACATTATGTAAGTTCTGTCTTACGAAATCACGACCTTTAATTACAAATAGTGTGTCGATGACCGCCACAGAATGGTTGAGTTGAAGCTGGTACCCATGCATTCATTGATGGAAGAACACAAAGTATCACGACCTTTAATTAAAACTATTGTGTTAATGACCGTCAAATATGGTTTGTAAAACAACGTTTTATGTTGATACCCATGCATGCACTGAAGGAAGAACGCAAGGTAAATAACTCAAACATCAGAGAGACCAGATTGTTGTGAGAGTCCCAACGTAACATTGGGTCTCAGGTGGTTGTGGAGTGCCCCGTGAATAACATTGTGTCACAGATGGTTGTAAGTGTCCCCGTGTAACATTGTTTCACAGATGGTTGTGAGTGTCCCGGTGTAACATTGTGTCACAGATGGTTGAAAGTGTCCCAGAACATTGTGTCACAGATGGTTGTAAGTGTCCCCGTGTAACATTGTGTCACACATGGTTGTAAGTGTCCCCGTGTAACATTGTGTCACAGATGGCTGTGAGTGTCTATGTATAACATTGTGTCACAGATGGTTGTGAGTGTCCCCGTGTAACATTGTGTCACAGATGGCTGTGAGTGTCTATGTATAACATTGTGTCACAGATGGCTGTGAGTGTCCCCGTGTAACATTGTGTCACAGATGGCTGTGAGTGTCCCCGTGTAACATTGTATCACAGATGGTTGTGAGTGTCCCCTTGTTACATTATGTCACAGATGGCTGTGAGTGTCCCCGTGTAACATTGTGTCACACATGGTTGTAAGTGTCCCCGTGTAACATTGTGTCACAGACGGCTGTGAGTGTCTATGTATAACATTGTGTCACAGATGGTTGTGAGTGTCCCCGTGTAACATTGTGTCACAGATGGTTGTGAGTGTCCCAGTGTAACATTGTGTCACAGATGGCTCTGAGTGTCCCCGTATAACATTGTGTCACAGATGTTTGTAAGTGTCCCCTTTTAACATTGTCACTCACATGGTTGTGAGTGTCCCCGTGTAACATTGCATTCAGATGGCTGTGAGTGTCCCCGTGTAACATTGCATTCAGATGACTGTGAGTGTCCCCGTGTAACATTGCATTGAGATGGCTGTGAGTGTCTCCGTGTGACATTGCATTCAGATGGCTGTGAGTGTTCCAATGTAACATTATATCACTGATGGTTGATAGCGTCCATGTATAACATTGTATCACAGATGGTTTTGAGGGTCCACGTGAAACATTGTGTCACAGATGGTCATGAGTTCCTTCATGTAACATTGTGTAACAGATGGTTATTATTGTCACCGTTAAGATTGTGTAACAGATGGTTATGATTGTCACCATGTAACAATGTGTGACATATGATTGTGAGAGTTTCCGTTTTGAATTGTATTATATACAGTAATAGGTGTTCATATGCAACATATATTACAGATATTTGTTCTCGCATAACATGTGTTCCAGATAGTTGAGTGTGTAGCAGTATGTTGAAATCACTGATTGTCAACCGGACGGCCACAGCGTTAAGGTGAGATTTCCAAAATTGAAACGTGAAGGTTCACCCAGTAAATTCCCACTGGTAAGACACCCGCTAGTAAGACACCCACTAGTAAGACACCCATCATTGAGACACCCACTACTCAGACACCCATCAGTAAGACACCAACTGGTCAATCACCCATCAGTCAGACATCCACTACTCAACCACACATAAGCAAGACACCAACTGGTAAATCACCCATCAGTCAGACACCCACTAATTAGACACTAATTCGTCAGACACCCACTCGTTAGACACAAATAAATCAGACACCTAATAGTTAGACACCCATCAGTCAGACACCCACTTGTTAGACACCCATCAGTCAGACATCCACTAGTTAGACACCCATCAGTTAGACAACCACTAGTTAGACGTCCACTAGTTAGACACTCACTAGTCAGACAACCACTTCTTAGAAACCAATCACTGAGACACTCACTAGTTTGACACCCATCAGTTAGACACCCATTACTAAAACACCCATCAGTCAGACACCAACTAGTTAGAAACCAATCAGTCAGACATCCACTAGTTAGACACCCATCAGTCAGACACCCACTACTCAGACACCCACTAGTCAGACATCTACTAGTTAGACACCCATTAGTCAGACACCCACTTCTCAGACACCCACTAGTCAGACAGCCACTTGCTAGACACCCATCAGTGAAACACCAACTTGCTGAACACCCATCAGTCAGACACTAAAATGATGGACACCCATCAGTCAGACACCCATAGTTAGACACCCACTACTTAAGCATTCGTCATTCAGACACCCACTAGTTAGTCACCCATCAGTCTGACATCCACAAGTAAGTCAGCCATCAGTCAGACACCCACAGTCAGACATCCACTACTTAGACACCCATCAGTGAGACATCCACTAGTTAGACAACCATCAGTCAGACACCCACTACTCAGACACCTAGTAGTCAGACAGCCACATGTTAGACAGCAATCAGTCAGACACACACTAGCTAGTCACCCATCAGTCAGACACACACTATTTAGAAACCCATCTGTGAGACACCCATCAGTCAGACACCTACTAGTCAGACAACCACTAGTAAGACAGCCACTTGTTAGACACCCATCAGTAAGACACTAAAATGATGGACACCCATCAGTCAGACACGCATTAGTTAGACACACACTACTTAAACATCCGCCATTCAGACACCCACTAGTTAGTCACCAACTCGTGAGACACCCATCAGTCAGACACCAACTAGTTAGTCACCCATCAGTCAGACACCTACAAGTTAGACATCCATCAGTCAGACACCCACTTGTTAGACACCCATCAGTCAGACATCCACTAGTTAGACACCCATCAGTTAGACAACCACTCGTTAGACACCCACTAGTTAGACACTCACTAGTCAGACAACCACCTCTTAGAAACCCATCACTGAGACACTCACTAGTTTGACACCCATCAGTTACACACCCATTACTAAAACACCCATCAGTCAGACACCAACTAGTTAGAAACCAATCAGTCAGACATCCACTAGTTAGACACCCATCAGTCAGACACCCACTACTCAGACACCCACTAGTCAGACATCTACTAGTTAGACACCCATTAGTCAGACACCCACTTCTCAGACACCCACTAGTCAGACAGCAACTTGCTAGACACCCATCAGTGAAACACCAACTTGCTGAACACCCATCAGTCAGACACTAAAATGATGGTCACCCATCAGTCAGACACCCATAGTAAGACACCCACTACTTAAGCATTCGTCATTCAGACACCCACTAGTTAGTCACCCATCAGTCTGACATCCACAAGTAAGTCAGCCATCAGTCAGACACCCACAGTCAGACATCCACTACTTAGACACCCATCAGTCAGACACCCACTACTCAGACACCTAGTAGTCAGACAGCCACTTGTTAGACAGCAATCAGTCAGACACACACTAGCTAGTCACCGATCAGTCAGACACACACTATTTAGAAACCCATCTGTGAGACACCCATCAGTCAGACACCTACTAGTCAGACAACCACTAGTAAGACAGCCACTTGTTAGACACCCATCAGTAAGACACTAAAATGATGGACACCCATCAGTCAGACACGCATTAGTTAGACACACACTACTTAAACATCCGCCATTCAGACACCCACTAGTTAGTCACCAACTCGTGAGACACCCATCAGTCAGACACCAACTAGTTAGTCACCCATCAGTCAGACACCTACAACTTAGACATGCACTAGTCAGACAACCACCAGTCAGACACACACTCGTTAGACACCCATCAGTCTGACACCGAGTAGTCAGAAAACCACTAGTTAGACACCCGTCAGTGAGACACTCACTACTCAGACACCAATCAGTCAGGCACAAACAAGTAAGTCACCATGTGTCAGACACCCACTAGTCAGACACCAGCTAGTCAGACACACACTAAGTAGACACCCACTAAGTAGACACCCACTAGTCAGACAACAACTCGTTAGACATCCATTACTCAGACATCCACTTCTTAGAAACCCATCAGTGAGACACTCACTAGTCAGACAACCCATCAGTCAGACACCCACTACTCAGACACCCATCAGTGAGACACCCTCAAGTTAGTCCCCATCAGTCAGACACCCACAAGTTAGTCACAATAAGTCAGACACCCACTAATCAGACAAACACTAGTCAGACACACACTAGTTAGACATCCACTAGTCAGACAACCACTGGTCAGACACCCATGAGTCAGACATCCACTTGTTAGACACCCATCTGTCAGACATCCATATATTAGACACCCACAAGTTAGACACGCATCAGTCGGACACCCACTAGTTAGTCATCCATCAGTTAGACAGCCACAAGTTAGTCACTCACAAGTCAAACACCCACTAGTTAGACACCAATCAGTCAGACACCCACTAGTTAGAGACCCATCAGTCAAACACCCTCAAGTTGGACATCCACTTGTTGGTCACCAATCAGTCAGACATCCACGAGTTAGAGACCCACCAGTCAGACACACACTAGTTAGTCACCCATCAGTGAGACACCCACAAGTAAGACACCCACTAGTCAGATAACCTCTAGTTAGACACCCATCAGTGAGACACCCACTACTCAGACACCCATAAGTCAGACACTCACAAGTTAGTCACCATGAGGCAGAGACCCACTAGTCAGGTAACCACTAGTCAGACAACCATCAGTCAGACACCCATTAGTTAGTCACCCATCAGTCAGACACCCACTAGCTAGACACCCATCAGCCAGATACCCACTAGTTGAACACCCATCAGTCCGTCACCTACTAGTTAGACAGTCACTTATCAGACTGTGAGGTTGGTGCTTTAGAGGACAAGGCCCACATCTGTAAGGGAACAGCTTTAGAGCGCTCTACTCAGAGAGGTGAAATGCCATCACAGTCTATGTGCATTTGTCATCCAAAGTTTGTCAACACATAAAATGTTTATTCACATACTTAAGAACCTGTTTCTAACCATCACTTTGATCTTCTTAAAGTCTGTCTCTGCTTGGATTATCTTCTCACAGTTTACATGTTTAATCTTATTTCATTTTTTTTATAAATGTGTAAAAATGAAGGTAAGCGTTGTCAGTATTGCTGGGGCAAGGACATTATAATACATCAGGTCAAGAGCTGCTTCTGTCACTCAAACTCAAAATCTTGGACTCTCCGTGCAATTTAAGGAGGATCTATAAGTGAGTCCTACACACATAGGCAGAAGCCATGGACTAGCCACCATATTTCTGCCATCTCGGGAACACCTGGCGACATCACGAAGCCAGACTCCTCTTGTGCTTCATGTGCAATGTATGTATTTCAACTTATATATTTTGATTTTTTTTTACAAGATTGTACCATGTTTTCTTATGTATACACAGCAATACATAAATTGTATTAATCCATAAATATTTAACCCGATCTTCCTCATCGGGAATAGCCCATTATAACCCTGAGTTAACAGTCGAGTTGCCGTGCACTCAATCATAAATTTGTTTTGTAGAGCTGTCTATTAATGGGAAATTACAAACATGTGGCAGCTGCAATAAAAAACAGGTTCTTTAATAAATGTCAGTGTACTCACGAATGTCCAGTGTTGAGAGCTTGCTGGTAGTTGGTGCTTTCAGATAGGTATCACGTCAAGACAGATCAAGTTGATACGATGCAAGTCAGGTCGTAGAAGGCCTAGAAGCGCTCTCGTCTCGCTCTGAAATTGATACAGCCAACCTCTCCCTCACTATCAGTGTGCGAGCTCAGCCTTTGTTACCGCTTATAGACAGGTTATAAATAGATTCAATGCTAAAGGTCCCCATAGTGACGTCACAACCCCTGTCACAGGAAGTAAAAAATCCTTGGCTCTACACCTACCTCATATAAACCTTTTATTACAAATCCTATATGAACATGTAATGTTTTCATATATTTCCCATTTCCACATATGTCTATTTATCAAAATAATACCTAAATAACCCATCCATGGATTGTAGAGGCCGTGAGAACATGTTTATTGAAGTCAGGTGACCTCAAAATATTCTCTCACAGGGTAGAAGTCATTCACAAAAATATGTTACTTTAGGGCAGCTTCACACTGTTTGTTAAAATTTGTGTTGACTGATATGTCATTGATGGTCTAATTTGTATGTCAGGGGTCTAAACTGATTGTTTACAGGTTTTGGTGTTTGACATTTGGTTCTTTCTGTCTTAGACTGTCTGGACATAGTTTGTCAGTGTTATCACACTGAACAGACATTTGCGCTTAAATAAATCAGAACTTAAATCTCAAATATGTATTGGGTTTTTAGTTTTAATTAGGTAAAGTAACCCTTCACAGCACCGGAAGTAGTTAAGATTTTAGTCACGTGCCCTCTATCAGTAAAATGATTGGCTCAAACCTATCGTCTGCTGTAGCAGTATACTACTGTAACTGTTGCGGTGGACGATTACTTTTGGATTATGCCTTGGCTATTGCATTTTTATGCTCAGTCATGGCTAAATCATGTGTTTCATTTGTTATTTTCTTGGAACTCACTTGGAATGCCTTTTACTAACTATTTATCTTGATGCAACTTCCAAGTAACAACATTTGAGATTTGTCAAGAAAGGTATGAACATATTGGACTTCTGGCGCCTCTTAAACTAATGAATTTTTCAGTGGAAAATAATAAGAGTACATTTGTACCAATAAGGCTTGTGTATGCATTAATATTTTATAGAACTTTAAACGCTTGTAGAATGTTGCATCTTGTGAACGTATGTGCATTTATGCCATCCTAAAAGTCAGAAAAAATAGAAACAAAAGAAGAAATAATGGTATTCCTCCTGAGAAAAAATGTAAGATCGTATCATAATGTTGCCCATGTCGTCCCTGTCAGGTATGCATACAGTTGGGACAATTTTTAAAAAGGCGATCCTCATCATGAAATGAATAAACCTTATTATCTAGGTGAAAAGCATTAATATCCAGAGAATATATTTCGTAACATGGAAAACTAATAAAAGTACAAAAAAGTTGTTTCAGTAGAAACCTCTGTTTAAAAACTCCAGTTGACAGAGTCTATAGAGTGAATATGTCATCTGCTAGCAAATTGTCTTTACTGTTTGTAGGAGGCTTTTTTTACGGGAAAAGATATCAATTACAAAATTGAGGCTAAGCTCGCACACTGTATGCTCAAGACGGGACTGCTGTAACATTTAGATTAGATTGCAGTCCTCGGACCTGGTAGTCCTTTGGGATGCCATGAACTCTACCTACACTACAGTAACTGCCTAGAACGTAATTCACGCGTGGGTCACATATTGCACACGCTCGTGCCATGCATTGTCGCATTGTCGCATTGTCGCCCTTTGAAAACCAAGCAAAAAGTGTCAATATTAACCAAAGCACGATAATGCAAGAATACGACAATGCGACATTTTGCCCATTTGTCGCATCGTCGCCCTTTGAATAATCTCTTATATGTTATCAAAGCGCGACAATGCGCCGCACTCAGCAATATTACAGCTATATGACGTCTGTAAGTAATTGAGTCTGGACCAGACAATCCAGAGATTGACAACATGAGCATCGATCCACGCAATTGGGATCGATGACATGCATCAACCTAGTCAGCGAGTCTGACCACCTGATCCCGTTAGTTATGGATTGCTGAAGACCTATTCTACACCGGATCTTCACGGGCCGAAAGGGCTTTTGAAAGAGATGGTCCAGAAAGGGCTTTATCATAAAGGGTTAATATCGTAAAAATGTGTGCTTAAATTTGAAGTCCTCTGGTTTTGCCGAAGAACATTGCAACAATGTTATATTGTCGGTATTTGCCGGCTCTCGGTCACATACGTTTCCCCACTCATACTCAGTTACGCAAAGAAAAATAGTTCTTTGAATATAAACAACATAATCTAGAAATATATCAATATAATTTCTTTCTCTGAACAAATTTACAAACAATATTTGGGATAAATCAGATCTTAAAAATAGGTTTCGGGAAAATATAAACATGACCTTGATGCACCGAGGCGATGTCAACCTTCAAGCGCGGTTTTTGAAAACACCCCAACGCTTGAACCCTCTCATAGCACTAGCAAATTGGGAATATCACCGATTTATGAATGTGTTGCTTGTGTTTGGATAATCGCAAACCAGTTCTAGACTAGAGATATTTCTAGGATAAAATATGACCAACACAATTTGAAGGAACAGTAACAATTGTATTATAGAAAATCATCATTCAGAACAGTAAAATGAGAATTTACTAATTCAACACAGAGTCCTTGACCTCAAACAGGGACATTTCTTGACAGGGGGTCATTCGTCCAGTATTCGATCAACAACATTGGTTACAACTTTAAGGTGACGACGGCCCAGACCGTTCAATACGGGATACGACCTCCATGAGCGGCAATCCATCTTCGAATGCGGCGTCGAACTGAGTAGACAAGCGTCCTCACATCGACTACAGGTATCCGATTCCAGTCCTCACGGAAGGCAACGATCAACGCTTGTCTCGTGAAGGGAGGATGTTGACGTTTCCGAAGACGACGCCCCAGCTGGTCCAAGAGATGTTCTATGGGTGACCGATCTGGTGATCGAGCTGGCCACGGCAAAACAGTCACGTTGTTGGCGTTGAGGAAGTCTCTAGTAATACGGGCTTTATGGGGTGTGGCGTTAACTTGTTGGAACACCGTCGATTGTTGACGCTGGATGGAAGGAAGAACCACTGGCTGTAAGATATTGTCAATGTAGCGTTGTGCTGTCTGATTGCCTTCGATGATGACAAGTTCCTTCTTCTCGTCCCCGCAAATGCCGCCCGAGACCATCACACTTCCGCCCCCGTAAGGTTCCACCTCCTGGACACAACAAGAAGCCGTACGTTCACCACGTCGTCGATAAACCCGCCCATCAGGTTTGAAGAATTCGAACCTGCTCTTGTCACTAAACAGAACTCGCCGCCATTCCCTTTGTTGCCATCGCTGAGTTTGCCTGCACCACGTCAATCTGGCACGTCGATGTTGACGGGTCGAAGTCATTCCCTTGAAAGGGCGATAAGCCCGGGGACCATAATGTCGTAGTCGTCTGGTCACTGTTTGTCTGCTGACTGGATGTCCTAAACTGTTGGCAGCTGATGACGTCACAGTAAGAAATCTGTTCCTCAGATGAAGTACCCGTAAAAAACGGTCATCCTGCGGGGTCGTGACCTTTGGTCTGCCACTCCGTGGTCTGTCTGCGGTTCTGCCAGTCTGTCGGAGACGTGCGACCAGTCTGGTGATGGTCATCTTGGAGCAGTTCATGTTAATGGCAACCGCTCTCTGTGTCTCTCTCCCTCTGGACAGCGGTCAGTCCTGGCATGTTCGTTAGTGTAAAACATCGCAACCAATGATAGGAAACAGATCCGTGCGTAATTTATACCCGGAAATTGCACGATAATTTTGGGAAAGAATGTTTTAAAAAAATTCTGAAAAACACCAATATCTCCCAAAATCCGCAAAGCAAGTGATGTATTCGTGAAATGTGTTCTTTACTGTTTCAAAGTGGCAAATCAGTTAATGTTGGTAACGTTTCTTTTGGCCCTCAGTTTATATTGCTGATAAATGCAGGTATTAAAAAGAAAATAGAAAAACGAGTTGATCTTAAACACCGATCAAGAATTTGGGGAAACCCCGGAAAGTAGTTCCTGCAAAAGTTCACACGATCAATTTCACAAAAAAATTGTTCACATCATGTGAACTTATTTTGTCTATTCACAGGTGTGTGAACTCAAAATATCAGATCACGTGACTACCCCTTCAGCCAATCAGCATGAAAGAAACAGTGTAAACTTCAAAGTATAAAATTATTCTCTGTTGTTGTCACTTTTTTTTTACATGATCTATGTATAAGCTATACACGCTCCAAAACAAGTATGGGATCATGAAATATGAATGGTATGATCGGTCGTTAGAAAAAAAGATGAGCTGCTGAACACACACACACACACTTACACTAACAAACACACATATTGATCCTATTTAAAGGCAAGTACTAAAGCGATCCGGCACACACACACACACACACATGCGCACACACACACACACACACACACACATTAGGCATATTCAAAAGCAAGTATTAAAACACTTATATATCAAAAATATTATTCATAGGATAAAGAGCCAGTTCACATTCAGCCAATCAAATTAAATCATACATTCGATACAAAAGTATACAAACGAAAACTATCATTTTCTATTTTTTAAAATGAAAACATCAATATCATATTTATATCTTGTATTTATCATAATGAAATATAATCATGGTAGGATCAAACAGCAAAATGTTTTGACACACCGTGCACCAATTAACACTGAAATAACAAAATAGATTTCAGTGATTTTCATATCTTATATTTTCAAAAGTGCATTATAACATCTTGTTGATGACATAATTTGTTTGTGCCTGTTTCTTTTACAATTTCATGAAAATATTTCTTACTTCTCTCAGTTATATACCTGATAAACACTTACACGTGTTGCTGTCCAAATTCACAACATTTACTGACGAAATTTCCGTTGCATCAGACGTTTACATTTCGCGTACTGTATCGCCTTACCGCTGTTTTGAAATGCGTGCCTATGACATAGCCTGATCGGCGGTACTACAACTTAGATATGGGTACGTATACTATGAAAATCACCTTAATCTTTAAAAGTGTATTCTTCAGATATCAAGGTCAACACTTTCAGTACCGATTG